AAACAAATAAAAATATTTAAATCTTACAAATCTACCACACATCAAAACAAATCTACCATGAACAACAACAAATCTACCAAACTCGACAACAACTATAAAATACCTACACAAAACATTAACAAATCTACCAAAACGAACACAAATCTACCACAAATAAAAGAAAAGAAAATATAGAACACAAATCTACCAAATAAATACATAAATCTACCACACACAAAGAGAGAACGCAAATATAGAATTCGTAAGTCTACCAAACGCTCACCACATATGAAAACAAATCTACCATGAACATGTCTACCAAACAAGAAAGCAACTATAATATAAAATCTACCAAACCCGGGAGCAACTATAGTATATAACTCTACCAAATACGACCACAACTCTACCACACATGATATAAATAAACCAACAATACTACCACACAATGAAACGAAAACAAATCTACCTCACATAGAAAAGAACTCCATTAAACACGAATAAATCTACCGTTAAGCATATACAAATCGAACAACTGCAACCAACTGCTGAAAGTCTACCAAAAAGAAATTAGAACCGAACCACTACAAACAGAAATTGGTCGCCGGAAATCGTCTGGGCTCAGTAGAAACCGTTCTCGAAAGACGGAACCCGCCGATAATACTTCCCTGAAAACAAAAAAAAACAAAGGGTTACGATTTATGGGTAAAGGGTTTTCGACTACGAACGAAAAGATGGAGTTCTCTTCCGACATTAGCGCGAAACCACCATTGAAACCCAAACACAACCGTCGCGAGTAAAACCCAAACATAACCGTCGCGAAAACCGAAGTCAAAAACTTGTTCGCGACGAGAAACTAACCCAGACGTCAACACTTACGAGATGAGTGGCCGAAAAACTTTCGTCGCCGCCGAAATCGTCTCCTTCGTCGCGAAATCGCCGAAATCGTCTCCTTCGTCGCAAAATCGCCTTTACAGTCGCCGCCGGAGGATATTAGGGTTTCAGCTTCTATTTTTATGTTTTTGTATTTTCGATTTTCGATTTTAAGAATGTTTTGGATTATGATTTCTTTTTTTTTTGTAAAATGTTTTATTTTAAGGTTTTTTAAAATAGAATGGCAATCTGGTAATAATATTCATTATTTAGACAAAATGGTATAACACCAACTTTCTAACGTTACTCTAGTAAGCTGATGGATATATTAGGTTAAGTTTGTTAATACATTAACTTTAAGGGTTAGTCTGAAGAATTTTTACTTATTATTATTTTGTTTTATTGTTAACGTACGTTTTTGGACTATTGTGGGCGTAATTTCTTATATAATAGGGTAATAATTATAATTTACGCGACACATGGTAAGGTACGGTAATATTATATAATTTAGACCGACC